GCTCCTAATTAAATACAACACTGATCAATCATAAAAAACTTTATTAAAACATATATGTACACTGAGGAACTCAGTGCTCAAAGCTTAAATACAGTTTTTTTACATACACATCAATGGTCAGCACCTTAACCCTTTACAGCCATGTGGTGTTCACACGCAACTTCTGAGCGCTGATTGGCAAAGGCAGCTTCAAACAAAGATTATCCACCAATAGAAAACATGTAAATGTGCTGAGCTATTCTGCTTAGATCAAAGAAATACACTTTGGATTCTTTTCCTTTTTGATGTTCTGTTTTCCTCATTATTTGGGCAGAAAAACTGGTTCTGGCCGGTTCTGTGACCTGTCTCTATCTCCAAGCGTAACAGTCAGTGCCATCCGTACCATACACCATCCTGTTATGTAAACCATCAGCATACGCCTTTCGTCAGTACATCTCCTTTTTGTACAGCATTCAAAAACAAACAGTATAAATTGATTTGGAAACTTAATACAATGAATATATTGTAAAGATTGAATAAATGTATTTACAATATCTTAACAATGCCATACAGAAAGTCTTGTACCTAGCCTCATTGACATTTTCAGCAGCCGGCTGATCAGAAAGGTGGCATACATATTTGCAAAGTAGTGCAAATGTTGAGTGGTCCAAGTTAAAGTTAGCACCCAGATTTTTAAAACCCTTAAGGTACTCTTCCCGCTCACATGCCACAGAAAATGTCTTTCTTTTGCCTTTACCATAAAAGGCACTTGTGGAGTAACACCCAGAGAATGAATATATGCCAATCAAGTCTGAACACACACTGGTGCCAAGAGCTGATGACACCTTGGTAATGTCAATGATGCGTGTCCTGTTGCCCGTCCCTGTGAAAAAAATATAAGCTGCATGGTAAATTTGTCTGCAGACTTACAGCAATGACTGCCACATCAGTGTCAGGGCTCCTAATGATGACAGTTGCATGCTCTTTTGCAGCATGTTGTGCATGCAAAAACACCCGTGTCACATTCTTCATGATCACACCGCAGGTCTTCAACAGGCAATGGAAGCAAGTCCATGTAATTTTTGTCACTGGATAGTCAACTGACCTTTCACACTAATCTCACTGTGGCAAGATGGATGTGTAATGGGCAAATTCACCATTTCCAGCCAGTAAGGAGGTAAGTACCGAGCATAATTTACTTGATCGTAGGCAAAAAACCATGCCATCATTAACCGGACTGTTGACAGGTGAAGCTGCCAGTTCGATTCTCGTATTGCTCTTACAAACAGTAGCTGCATCATGTGAATGTAGGAGCTCCAGAAAGCAAATGTTGGACTTTCTATACTTTTCCTCTGCACAAAGTCAGTATATTTTGAACACATGCTCTGAAACCTCTGCTCTGCACTCAAAACATCCATCAATTGGTCTGGAAAGGCACATTTAATCTCAGTGATGACATCAATATACTTACCTCTTTCTTGTCTACCACAAGAAAGAGGTAAGTATATTGATGTCATCAAGGAGTCCAAGGTGATGAATCGGATGCACTGCAGACTCTCATATAGAAGTTTTTGAGCTCTCATGCTGCGATTGTAGTGATGACCATTGAGCACCCCATTGATGGATCCTGGGGCAACAACTTCAGATTCCATGAGAATATCTTAAAGTCCTGCATCTCCAAATCTTTTGCCTAAAACACTTAGGTAGGGCATGGATGTGTGGAATTCACCTTGTCTTATCACTAAATGCTGCGTGAAGTCATAATTTTTCCAGCAGATTTGCTGCGCTTTGGCATATATAGCTTGGTTAAACACTAAAACTATATGATCCAGTTCTAGTTGTTCAGCAATCTCGACACTTCGCTTCAGGATAGTGTTTACTGTTGACAATTCTGTTGGTGATGCCTCAATGACTGGAAGCTAATACAATGTTGACTTTTGCAGAGTGTTTTTACCTTGAAGTAGTGTATGGAACCCTGTCCAGCTTGGGACTGCACATCCATCCACATACGTGGACTTTACCAAAACATACGCCAATTCAGCTTGTGCAGCTGAATGGGTGTTGATTCGGCATGTCTCCTCCTCCATCGGTTGACCCAAGTTGTGTGGGCCTTGCCTTTTGGACTGATGGTACGGTTCTATAGAGATTGGGGGGCTTTGAATGAGGAAACTCCCTTTCTCAGTGGCTGTCTGATGGCTGTGGACATAGTCTCGTTGGCAGAACTCTGGAGCATAATTCCATTTGTATGATGAGTAGTTCCACGGCCTGATAGAGTCTTCTCACCAAAGTCAGTGTTATTCCACACAAGTGTTGTCAAATCAAATTCAAATCAAATTTTATTTATATAGCCCACATTTACAAAATACAGTTTGTCACATGGGGCTTCACAGGGTTGGTAACATCCTCTGTCCTTAGACCGTCAGCCAGGGTAAGGAAAAACTACCGAAAGAGAAACCCTTTCAACAGGGAGAAAAGAGAAAGGTAGAAACCTTAGGGAGAACCACAGGTGACGGATCCACTCCCTGGACGGACAGACGTGCAATAGATGTTATCAGAACATACATTGTACAAATACATAAAAACCAATGAAGAAAAAAAAGTCGTGGTAGTGGCAGTAGTCCTGTGCTCCTCCTGTTCACCGGTGGCAGCAGAACTGTAAAAGAGTGGGACCAGTTTCCTAAGTGTATACATGGTGGTCGGTATGAATATAGGACAGGACAGAAGAATAAAGTAAGACCGTAGAGTCTGTGTCCTCATTATAAGTGCAAGATGAAGTGAAATGAAATGAAATGCAATGCCCCCCAGCAGTCTAGGCCTATAGCAGCATCTTTTTAGACTGTTCTAGTCGGGGCATGTTTAATCTAATTTAGGCTATAGGCTATACTATACAAATGGGTTTTGAGTCTCACTTTAAAGGACGAGACAGAATCTGACTCTCTTACTGAGAGTGGGAGCTGGTTCCACAGGAGAGGAGCCTGGTAACTAAAAGTTCTACCACCCGTTCTATTTTTATTTATTTTAGGGATGACCAATAGATTCGAATTTTGGGAGCGCAGTGATCTATTTGGTTTGTATGGGGTAATTAAATCACAAATGTATAATGGGGCTTGATTATTTAGGGCCTTGTATGTGATTAAAAGTATTTTAAAGTCTATTCTACTTTTTACTGGGAGCCAGTGTATTGAAGCCAAGACGGGGGTTATATGTTCTCGTCTTCTAGTTCCGGTCAGTATGCGTGCTGCCGCATTCTGGACCAGTTGAAGGCTTCTTAAGGACTTATTGGGACATCCTGATAGTAGCGAATTGCAATAATCCAGCCTGGAGGTTATAAAGGCATGGATTAGTTTTTCAGAATCTGGTCGTGATAACATTTTTCTAATGGATTTAATGTTACGTAGGTGGTAGAAGGCTGTTCTACAGGTTTGGTTAATATGTTTTTGTAGTGATAAATCCTGATCAAACAGGACACCCAGGTTCCTTGCTTTACCACAGGGGACTGGGGTAGAACTACCTATGGTTATAGTTAGATTTGACAATGGTGCTCTTATATGTTTAGGCCCTAAAACTATGACCTCAGTTTTTTCTGTGTTAAGCATTAGAAAATTCTGGGTCATCCATGTCAGAATGTCTCTAAGACAATCTTGGATTTTAATTAAGGGGTTTGGGTCATCTGGCCGTACCGATACATACAATTGGGTGTCATCTGCATAGCAATGAAAGTTTATGTTGTGCTTCCTGATGATGTTGCCTAGTGGCAGCATGTACAAAGTGAAAAGAATTGGGCCAAGCACGGAACCCTGAGGAACTCCATAGTTCACTTTAGTGAGTATGGAGGATTCCTCATTTACGTTAACAAATTGAAACCTGTTCGACAAATAGGATTTGAACCAGGCAAGTGCTGATCCTTTAATCCCGACATCTTTTTCCAGCCTATGTAACAGGATCTCACGGTCAATTGTGTCGAACGCTGCGCTGAGATCCAGAAGGACCAGGATAGACGCCAGTCCCTTATCAGAGGCCACGAGAACATCATTTTGTACTCTCAATAGTGCAGTCTCTGTGCTATGATGGGTTCTAAACCCAGATTGAAATTTTTCAAATAGATTATTGTCATGCAGATGATCACACAATTGGGAAGCGACAGCTTTTTCTAAGATTTTAGAAATAAAAGGTAAATTTGAAATGGGCCTATAATTAGCTAGAGTGCCAGCGTCCAGAGAAGGCTTTTTAAGTAATGGTTTAATTACTGCTATTTTGAATGCCTCTGGGACACAGCCACTCAGTAGGGACATATTTATTTGTTGTAATATTATGTGACCTATTTGGGGAAGGGACTCTTTAACTAGTCTAGCTGGTATAGGATCCAGCTGACAGGTGGTTGATTTAGCAGCGGAGACCAGAGACCTTAGCTCGGGGAGATTTAAAGGGTTAAATTAATTTAATTGTAAGATTGGAGTCACCATTGTGTCTAGGTTATTCATGCTAAACTGCATTTTGGTCATTGTTGTGGGTGCATTCTTTACGAATCCCTTTGGTACTTTGTCTCTGCCCTCTATTAGTGTCAGTTGGGCAAGGCTAGTGTCTAGACTCAACACTGTGTCCCATGATGCACAATGTCCCAGTTTGTTAAGCTGTGACACAATGCGTGATGACCTTGTTAAATGTCGAACAGTTAAACCTAAACACAAGGACTTTGATGTCTGCTTATGGCCCTTGGTAGCAAGGTAAACAATGTCCTGACAAACACACAACACTTTCAAATGCAAGTCATCTGCAATGTTGACAAATGTTTCAGTGTTGTCTCCTCAGTGGCATCTATAACCCAGCTAACTAAATTGTAGAGTTCAAGGGGAACAACAGTTTGCACTTCGGTGAAAATTTTAAATCTTCTGCAGTGGGAGGCCGTGGCCACAACACGCTAGGAGTGTCACTTAGCAGTCTTTTTAACAACAACGCTTCTGTATACAGTGTCCTTGTGTCCTCTGGTGTTGTTAACTGTGTTGTCATTTTCTCAGGCTCACTGTCTGTCTGATTCATCTCGCTAGAGTGGGTGGTTTCCGCACCTGATGGATAAGATAGCAGGTCCAAGAGTGTTTCTTTCGACAGAGTCTCAGCAAAAACCAGTTTAGAGACTTTACGCTTGGTGGGGGTGTGAAACACTAGCTGCGGGAAATCACGGCTCAGGCTCTTCTTCAATGTATCCTGTCTGCAACACAATAAAATAGCAACAATTAGAGTCACAGGAGTACCATCAAAAGCATAAGCTAAAGGTGGGCTTCATTACAGTTGTGAATGAGAGTGGTGGAGGTAGTACAACACAATACAGACTGGAGCCTATCTGCTATATAGCATATTTAACAACAAAGATGCCCAAGAAAGGCACACATCTCAAACCACACTATCAGCTGTTTTACTTGTTGCCAAATAGTACACGACTGTGTGGACAGCAAGAATTAAACAGTTTCTCTAAGCTGAGTGGTCACACACATTTCGTGTTAAGCTGACAAATAATAATTGATGAAAGTGCCTTGCAATTACCTGTAGTTTGAAGCATCAAGACCTTCACTAGACTTCACCAGTTCAATGAAGGTCTTCCTCAGTTGGCTCATTCTCAGCACCTCCTGGTTTATAAGCTATTTTACTAAGTCCCAAAGTGTATGAGGGCTGCAGTTCCTTTTATTGAGAAAGTTACATAAGTGCTGAGCAGTTATTTTTCATTGCGTGCATTCTTTTTGGGCAAAGTTCGCACGATTCACATAGATGATGAGGAGCAGACTGTATCCTTTACAGAAAACATTTCTTGAGTACGTGCAGAACATTTCCTGTGTAGGTACTACAACAATCCTTTCAAGGACTCGAACTCCCATAATTCCACTGCTTCCGGTAAATCCACATACGTCACGATCAGTAACCTCCGCAACCTTTAAATAGGGGGGGCAGCCTAAATTTCATTATCTCTGTTCAGGACTTCCGCTCCGTAGGACCCCTGATGAAAAGAGAAACCTGCTCGTCTCAGAAGACTAAGAACCAACGCGCTTTTGTAGACACCATTGCCAACGGTGATAAATGCATTAGCAGCGTCTATGTCTTAACTGAGTTAACCGGTAATAAGTTACACAAGTAACGTAGCGCTGCGACCAAAGCAGTTATTGAAAATTTTAGAAGCGACAGGATTCCTTCTAACGGTAATCGTGTGAACCGGCACATCGACAGTCAGAGACTTTTCCTCCCGAAACGGACTTTCGGAACCAAGAGGGCTCTCTGGACACAGTGGAACCAGACGGACGTCCCCAGCTCTGACAAGGACCCAAGAAGTGCGGACTTTCCACTACCCTCTCAATACGAGCAGACGTTCACTACAGTAAGGCTGGCATTTGGGCACGTTAGTTAATCAGTAGTATTGCTAAATGCTATTAAAACTGAGGAACAGTTTAAGTACGCATATTGAATTTTGTTGTCTGAAATCTGTGCTGCTTTTATAGCTAGGCTGTTGCATGCACTTCTTTTCTAACCTCCTGACTCGGTGTTATACTCTTGTACACCGTCAGTATTTCAGTGTTAACTTGGAACGTTATCAGTATTGGGATCAGGAAAACTCCGACAAAGTCCTTTGTCTGGAGTAGACCACGCGGTACGCCTCCCTTCCCCCATATACTTTGATAACATCACAAGCACTGTTTCATTGTACCTGAGCGCATCTTGGTGCGCGTACACAACACCCATTCACACCTCCGTGAGCGCATACACGCCTCACGTGTTTCCTGTTGCCGTTCCTTCTACCTCGCAGTTCTTCTTCCACTGCGCAGTCGCGTATGTGAACACGCCTCAAGGGCTCAGTCGCTTGCTTGGTAGCTGAGAGGCAACATCTCTCTCTCTCTTTCTCTCTCGTACACGACCGCTCGTGTACACACGCACATAAGTACACACACACCCCTACACACACGCCTTGTTTTGTTATAATGATCATTGTTTATGAGTTCAATCACCGTCATTAACTTGACAGTGTTGTATAAATAAATTTGATTATTTTTGTAAACTGTATTTGTCTGTGTTGTTACTTTATTCATTGAAGCCACCCAATTTGCCAAGAACTCTCAAAATCCTTCAGATATTTAATTGTTATTGAATACTATTGATTTTAGTATATTTGTATATTTCAAGTAATACATTATTGCTATATAGGTTAAAATAATAATTAAAGATAACTTTAATGAGACTGGTTGTGTTATTAATTTGGTTAATAACACCGAGTGCTCCTAAGCAGCACTCGACCCATTGCACCTACACCTGTGCAGAGCAAAGTCTTAAGAAACAGGAGTACGTGATTCTTACAAGCAGATTATGATTTAACACACTTTTATAACTAACTAGAAATTCTATTTACAGGTTGGTAGAGCCATCCATTCAGTCATTACTGAACTATATGAACTATACTTGGTGCCTAAGGTCAGGCTTACCTTGCATTTTAATTTTGATGTAAAATGTGTAATTTTTGTATTTTCAAAATCAAAGCTAAGACACATTGAAGTTAAAAATAGATGTGTCTGTATTATAGTGCAATGATATATATATATATACAGTATATAGTTATTAACTAATTTATACCATCAGGCAGGTGATGGTTGTACTGGTCTTACTGGAGATTTCCATAGGCCTCCACAGTCTTTTTCTCAAACCAAATCTGAGAACCATTTACAAAAACCTGTTGTCTCTGTGCCATAAGGAATTAACGTGGTTAGTACTACGTACTAATACGTACCTGTGTACAGTACAATATATAGTTTTCAATGGCATACATATATACACTTTTGTACCAAATAGAACATTTTATACAGACACATATTCACCTTGATATTATCTTTAAACATTTTTAACATCAAACAAGTAAATGTATTGCCAAGTTCTTCAGACTACAAACAAATTCAAAATATTCTGAGGGTCACTACTGTATATACTGTAGTCGGTCACTGTAATCAACCACACACTGTATATCAGGGGTCACCAACTATATTTGTTAGAGGGCCAGAATTTCTCTGGACAGACACCTGGGGGGCCGGACACTCAAGTAAAATGAAATAAAAACCACATTTTTGTCTAACATTATTATTTGATGTTTATTTTGTAATCCAGTTATGGGCCAGATTGGATGATTGATGGTCACTGCTGTATTTGGTCAGCGACTATAATGACTAGACTTCGACTCTATAATGCCATGCATTGACCAGTTCATAAAAGATGAAGCGCTATCTTTACAATGTGGTCTCGCTGCTCAGGTCCCGGGGATGATGGTGGTCCATGTCCGAGTCATAGTCAGACTCCATCTTAATCTTCACCTGGGGCACTGAGATGACGGGCAAGAGATCTTTAGGTGCAGTGTGATGCTGAGGAGGTGGAGGGCAGGGTGTGTGTTACAAACACTCACACACAGACACCCTGGGCCAAATACACCAAACTGGGGCAACTGGAAGGAAGCCAGCAGAAGCTAAAGCTATAGCTGCTTACAGTATGTCAGAGCTGAAATAGTGGAGTGATGGTTTGTTGGTGCAAAGATAAGGATTATTTACACAAAGGTGTAAATCTAAAGACTTAGTACCTAAAGTTTGGGCACATCTTTTAAATACATTTTTTAAAGTTGTGGTTTTTATATATATTATTCTATATCAGGTATTTATCTTTGGCTAATTATGAGCTGTATTTCTCAGTTAGCTATTGTCCACATATTTTGCTATATATATATTTGTATTATTAGTCATCTTTACGTTTTGGCTACTTTTGTATTGCATAATTGATTTGGTAAATGGGCAAAGACACCTAATATTTAACACACCGCAAACATACCTTGCACCATTTTCTTCTCTGCCACTTCTGACTTTCTACTTCTACTATTTTCTTCTTCTCAATCAATTCAAATACATTTTCTGGATTTACCAAGACATATGTACCTTTCATTTAGATCTTTACTCTCCTACAAGGGCTCTCTTAACATGAGCTACTGCCGCTGACTGATTGGACAATGGTCACTTCCTAAACATTTTCTTTAAAAGCAATGCAGACTTTTGTGGCCAAATTAAGCCATTACAGTTCAACCACAGGAATAAAAAAATAGTTCAGATTGTACTCCTGATGCAAAACACAACACACTGAACCTGCTGCAGTTTCATGGGGAGGAGAACTTTCAGCACAAGAAGACAAAAGAAACAACCAAAAACAGTGACGTTGTTGCATGTGGTTGGCTCATACAGTACAAATGTGTTCAGGTCACAGTGGACTCAGTGATGTCACACATTAAACACGTTTCATTACACACAGTATTTCTATTAGAATTCTACACAGGTTCATCTCAGCAGATGTAAAACATGCAATTGACTGTTATTTACCATACACTTCCTTCCTCTAAATGAACATAAAAGTAAAGTAGGGTAACCTGTGTGTTTAGTACACATACATACTTAGCAGCAGATGAGAACATTTACATCTATCTGCATTCCCTCCAAGTGCATGGAAAACAGTCTGAGCCTGGAGCCTGGAAGTTTTTGGGGCTACAAATTAATTTCAATTCTACCTCTACCAGCAGTTATTTAAGTATAGACATTATATACCTTTAATGATTAAATATTTCTTGTTAGAACTATTTTTAAAAGTTAACTTCCCTTAGTTTTATCTTTTTACATATATTTTTTTCTTATTCAGTTTCAGCTTACATTTGAGTTTTTAATAGGATGCTCATTATAGTTAAATTATACTTAATAAAATATAATTCTTATCCCCTCCTGGAACCGCAACCTTAACGTGGTGGAGGGGTTTGAGTATCCGAATGAATCTAGGAGCTATGTTGTCGGGGGCTTAATGCCCCTGGTCTCCCAAGGCAAACAGGTCCCAGACGACGGATCAGACTAAGAGCG